AAAAAAAAACATTACAAAAACTTTTTATAGTAATTATTTATTTAAAAACTTTTTTTATAGTAAAAATATATTAAAAATGATTACTATCAGTAATCACATTCTTCGGAATCTTCGAAATATTTTTGGCATAATTTATATAATCCTAGATTTTCATTATAGATCATTTGAAAATCTTTAATCGGACAAATCATATGAACATATGAAACAATACATTGTATATACACTTTAGTAAATGTACAGCACGTTTGTTTCATTAACAATGCCGATCCGATAAATTTATGATCATCATCATCATCATCATCATCGTTAGTAATTTTCGGGGACTCTTTATCATATATTAGTTCATAGAATTTATTTAAGCAATGTTCTTCGATTTGAGTTTTGAATTTTTTGCATTGAGTTGTTTTGGTTTCTTTTTTTGATCGGATTTCCTTCAATATTTGTTTCATTGTCAAATTGGATGGTTTTACGGTGGTAAAAAAATAATAGAAAAATAACATTATGAATAAAACGATCAAAGCAAAAGTTACGTATATCTTTGGGATTCTCATTTTCGGAAAAAGTTGTTGTTGTTGTGGTTTTAAGTACTTGGAGAGTATAAAGATTTTGATGAATTTTAATATAGAATAGGGGATGTATCTATGCAAATTCAGTATGAAGATTCAATAAACGATCGATTCGATAACATTTAACCCATACTAAACTATCGATATTTATACAGTTTTTTTTGACTTAATTATAATAATGTTAATTTTATTAATTATTTGTATAATGTAGCAATTACGAAATTATATTATTTTACTCAAATAAACTATGATTCTATGATTTGATGAGTTGAATTTGTTGGCTTTTTCTTCGAATTTTAGGTAGAGTTATGTTTATTCAATTTGATTGAATAAATTCATGATAACATTTTACCATACTAAACTATCGATATATCGTAAAATAACGAAAAATAATGTTGAATTAAAAATGTTTTAAATAATCGCAAATTCAAATTGAACAAAGGCTTGCAATTCCTTTGATCATTAGGAAAAGTGAATTAAATTCACTAGATGCACAATTAAAGTTTAATTTTTTTTTTTAAACGACATTTTAAAACTTTTTGTTGATGCTGTTGTTTTAGTTTTTGGAGAGTTTGAAGATTTTAATAACGTTTTTTCATAACTTCATTTTGAAATTTTTTACAATTTTTTATTAAAATTTTATTCATTTTTTTTAAATAATTATTTTTTGAAAATAAATTATAAATAATTTATAAATAATCAATCGACAATTCCGAAATCATATCAATATCGCATTCTTTGGGGAAATTTTTATAGTAAATTAAGCAGATGTTTACAATTCCTTTAATTTGTTCATAAAGTGAATTAAATTCACTTGCTGCACAATTATAATTTAAATGAAGATATAATTTCTTCAATATACAACATTCTATTTTTAAATTTTTAGCTAATGATTCGATGTCATGTTCATCGATTAGTTTTAAATCATATTTTTCTCTTATAATATGATTTAGTTCATTTAGCTTTGACTTATTTTCTTGACATCTTTGTCTTTTTGTATTTTCCAATAATTTTGTTGATTTTGGCGTTGTTGGCCAAAAACTTTCAGCATTTTCTTCCGCATCATCATTATCATAATCACAATCATCATCTATTGTTTTTGTTGTTGTTGGATAATCAAAATCATCATATTCATTACATTCATCGTTTTCATCATAATCAGAATTTTCTGTTTTTATTTGAACAGTCGATTTAATCGGTTTTGTTGTTGTTTTTGTTGATGGATATATACCAGTAATCTTATCCATTTCGATATAATAGAGAAAAGCCAATTGAATGGCTAACAAAATTGCCAAAATTGAAACGATTTTTTGTTTTCGTTTCATTTTTAGAAAAGAGTTGATTAAAGTTGTATATAGATTAAGGGAGAGTAAAAAAAAATATTCAAGGAGAGCAATAACAAGAGATTCGATAATTTTTTTATCAGACTAAACTATCGATATTTATACAGTTTTTCTTTACTAATTAATAATAATGTTAATTTTATTAATTATTTTACATTATTAAATTAAAGTTT